ACTCACCGCTGTGAAAACCTAAAATCTTACATATGAGAACAAAGTCTCATTTGTCTGCTTTTCAAAACACTTGGTTCAAGATTTCACCAGAATAAAATATTTTCTATTGGGCCTGGGGCATGAAGTTATTCTTGCGTAAGGTCTTTGACTATCCAATACTCATTTAAACTCGATTGCTGATCCTTCTGTTTTCCTGGGAACGTTGATCGATTAGCCCCTTAATATCAACTCGTTATAGTCGATGGCCGAACAGAGCGAACGTCCTAAATATCACTCGTCCGCCTTTCGTTGATATCCTCCACACATATCTAAATTTTACTCTTGATTATATAGTTATCGACATACTTAACTACCAACTCTTCTATATTTCACTAGATTTCCCCTGGCCATAAAATTATGATCACCTTTTTTTCAATTCAGTTACTCAATCGATCAATGAACCATCATTGTTAAAAATCACAGTTTTATTATTCCTGAAAAGAAGACGAAAACGAAAACAGCCTCGGGGATATTCGTGTTAAGATGATTGTCTTTTGACGTGTTATACCGTGTAGTTTGGTCTATACCGTCGTTTCAGACGAACACAATCTCTCCATTATCAGAGTGATGAAGGCAGTAAGCTCTTTTGAAACGTCAGTCAATATCTACCAGACTAAACATTGGAAAATCTAAAAAGACAACCATCTTCCTAATTGCATTATCTCTTTGCGCCAGTGACGTGAATGCAACTGGAACTGGCGAATTGGTGACTTTCTTTCTGGGCCGGGCTCTAGTTGGAACATCTAGCCGAGGCCTCTTGTCTCCGGACCTGACTTATAACCGGCCTGGCGCGTTGTCTGTTACCTATGAACACGATCGCTCGCGAGTGAAAATAACGTTGAAGTTGGTCCATGGTTAAAACCCTGCGAGAAACAACATACCACTTCACAGCCATGTTCTAACGACTAATTACTCTGTAAATATTCTTTAAGTGCAGACTTCAACAACGACATTTCGTTTACATTTAGATCGCCAAAATTGAGATCCCTGCTAATACTGCGCTTACACACTGATGGGCCTAAACTCAAGAGAGTGTTGGACTTCTGTCGAAATGCACGCCCCTATAATAAATCTTTGACACTGTAGTCTTAAGAAACTTAAGGAATTCGGAAACTTGCGACTCCATTTCTTCTTCAGATTCTTCAGTCTTTGCGATAGGAATAGCAGCTTTGAAATGTAGTGATCTATTGATACCTGTAATATCCACTTGTAGGATACAATTTCCGACTAAGCTAAATTTGTCTGCTATTCAAATTACATTCACCGTCGTCATACTTAAATTTGTTAATAATACAAACATATTTAAAAAGCCATTTATAATTTATGATCTATCTGCTCACAAAATGTCAAATGTATGTTTCTGGAAGATTATATGGTACCTTAATTATGCTTTTTCTTTGATAATCTATTACCGCAAAAAATTTCAGGACCCTGTGCTTGCATTTGCACTAGAGGCAGTGCTCGCAAGACCACTGTGCTGGTGTTATTAATGGTAGGTCGATGCATGATGTTCATTTGACTTTTCGTTAATCAGTTGAATCAGAAGGCAGTAGAAGGTACAGACACAGTTATATGCTGCCTATAAAGTACGTGAAGTACAGGATAAAAATTTTATAAATCTGGCGAAAGTTTGACGTTTGAACAAAATGTAGGGTGATAAGTATATAGAATTTATGCTTAAAGACTCAAGGAAAAAAAGCACTTGACAAGCAGTGTACTAGAAATTATCTTCCAGGAAGAGGCTTAGTTCTTCTGGGTAGATTGGGGCAAGAGAATTGGCAATCTAGATTGCATGAATGTAACAGATTTCTTAATCAGACAAATTACTGTCATCTTTTCAATGTGCACATCGTACCGGTGTTAGTGTGCTGCTTAGAAAGGTCGTTGGTTATTAGGTATATTAAAATGCAGCCGTCGATGTACTTCTGCGTTGTGACGCTGCCAAGAAAAATATCAACATCTTTACCGCCGTGTGAACCTAAAATTTCACAGACATATAGCTATCTTAGCCAGATAATAGCCTTGTTATTCTGGTTTATTGCCGCTAATGTCAAAGCCCGATGCGTGTACAATACTGAACTAGCTTTATCCACCTCTGATCTTAGTTCCATTTTCAGAGCGCCCGCTTTCGAAGTGGTTTCCCCGTGTCGCGTTTACATGTCCCACAGTAACACTGATTTTGCTATAAACACAAACATTTTTAGGCGACTGTATAAATCAGGAACTTTCTCGTTATGCAGTATAATATAAAAGTCTTTAGTATTTCTCTTAGATCCAATCGATTTCCTCAGATCTTTGTTCTTACAATGTTCTTCCCGCGCAATATTAAACCTACTGTACGTTTCACACTATGTCTGTGCCTAGTGACCCCAAAGCATCTCTGACTTTGAAAGCTTCAACGATCCAGGTTCTATGTAAGATTTGAGGTTTTCACAGTGGTGAGTATGAAGATTTCTGTCATCTGGGTTGTTGCGCTGTGTATTCTGGTAGATGTTTACCAACGTTTCAGAGGTCATCAGGGCGATTTATCAGACTACACAGCGCAACAATCCAGAAGACAGAAATCTTCATCCAATTTCTAATTCACTTGTCTTTAAAAATCCCGAATTTCATCTCACTCTAAGCCTTTTTTAATTTCCGTGTTGTAGATCTCTTTTAGGGTAAGAGTTTTTATATCCATCCCTAACCCAAAAATTGGTGACAATCCCATTCTACCTGCTCGCGAATATACTCTGTTCATTTGCAACTATCCTGCGTGTCTGCAGGCCGATTTCATAGAGCCATAAGACTTACCATGTCATTGTAGCACGACGCTTACTTAATGTAGAATAAAGCTAAAATACGAGGGAGGCCAAAGCCCACCCCGGGCTCTAGCACCGAGGAAAAAGAAACCTATAATACAGATTACTACAGTATGGGTATAAAGCTGTGGCCTGCTAAAAATTCATTTCGGTCCACTGAGACTAACAGATATTAATATTGTGGTACTATCCTTTATTAGCTTTTATTTTGTTATGTATTTTAAGCCCAGTTGCCATGAAACAAACAGATTTTGATAGAAATTCAGGTTTTAGGGTTTGGTCTCTCTGAACGTACTTACTATATTCATTCACTTTGCCTACAAATACAGCCTACTCCATAATGATTTAATATTTATATCAACGGCTTCAGAACACCAATCACATGTTCCAATATCTTGCCAAATTTGTTCATAATAAAACTGTTCCTATGTATTTCGGTATAAAACAATTGCAAAAGGTTTTTAGCTGTTAAAAATGGATAACCACAAAGCTTTTCTCACGGTACTCTCCTCGTCCGAACTAGAAGGTAACTTAAGATGGCTGTCTTCTGGTATGGTCTGTCGTGTAGCCTAGTCAGTGCAGATTACTGCCTCTATCATCAGGGCGCAACATTCTATAAGACAGCCATCTCCACACAAGTAGCCGCTAGAACCTGAAATCTTACCTAGAAAATATTTGCCCATTTCTATATTAAAATAATACATATTACACAACCTGTAGTGTTGGTGGAGCGTCACTGAATAGTCTGTTAATTATCCGTAGCATTCAACATTATTTGTCTGCGAGGAATGTCCAATGCATAACAATTATAACGAAGATGGCCTGCTCTGAAAATACGAATCCTCCTTACGGTATTGAGCTCAACATTTTATGTAAATATCTGGTGCTTTCATTCGGCAAGAACATTTGAGAAAAATCTTGTATCTATCCACTACTCTCTCTTCCCCTGTAAGCAAGAAGATTATTTACATTGGCTTAAAACGAAATTTTGAATCAACTAAACATCTGTTGCAGGAACCTTCAGGTTCACATCAAACAAGATTCTATGCGCATGCGTTGTCCTTGTGTATGAAGAGTCAATGAAAATACATGGTTACTAAAATTTCCGTATTAAAGGTACCGAAGTAAACATTAATGTTCTAAATGAAAATATAAGAACTAAGTCAAATAAACTGGTAGTCGCTCATCTTGTCGAAAATTTTTCCAATACTGGGATATCCTTTTGAAGTATTTTCTTTCAACAAAACAACTTTATTCGTAAGCGAATATATTTATTTTGCTACAACATACACGCCAAAAACACGTTTCGATTTTAATATATAAGAATGCTTATATACATTATTGCATTGTATGTTTTTTCAGTAGCTCCATTTCTTGTTATTATGTATGGTATTCAGATCTTGAAATCTAATGATTAGCATCTTAAGAATTCTGATCTGTGGAGTTAGTTACGGTACAAAAAACATTTGTACACAGAGAACAGGTCGGAGGTCGCAAGGATATCGATTAGCGTTGGCCTTTGATAGCAATGTAGACTTTTGATAAACTATGAATGGAAAATTCGTCCCAGTCCTTTAGTAGAGTTTATAAATGGAATCACTGTAAATTATAATTATTATGTCCTATTCTACAACTACTACGAGATTGCTCAGTTACGCATTTGCAGACTGTACTAGCGATGAAGATAACTGACTCTTGGTTACTGATAGAAATGGATTGGCATTTCAGAGGTAATAAATTAATTACGCAGCTTTGCCTATTTTGTTATTCTCTCTTACTTCTAAATATTCTCCTTGTGCTTTGTTCTAGGACAGACTCAACCTAGACATCTAATAGCCAGAAGATGGTTTTATTTCGGGTTGTAGCGCCGTGTAGTCAGATAGAAATTTACCAACAATTCAGAGGTATCTTCTGCCTCCATTATCAGGTCTTCACGGCGCCACAACCCACCGCTGTGAGAATCTCAAATTCAGTCTAACCCCCATTCTAGATATTAGCATGTTCAAACTCTTTAAATAAAACGCCGCTGTACACCATCCAATTCGTGGCCGGTGACGGGCGCTGGTGTTGTCGGTGTTGAACCTGCGGGTTCTACTATCAGGGAGTTAGTTACCATTCATTGTCAGACATTACCGTACATAACACAAACATATTACTTACCATGTAACTTGCCGGCCGGTTTGCGAGTCATGTCCAGAGCTTGATCCTGCGTTTGCGCCCTGTCAAGGACATCCTGCCCCCGGGTCATCAAAATGTCCGCTATTGAAAATGGCGTCACAGAGGCCAAAGAACTGCTGCACGGTATTCTTACCAACTGTTCCATTTCCGATGTATAAATTGCTGATTAATTTATGTTTTCACACAGAATTTCACCACAAAATATTGAATTTATGTTTCGGAGCTTAGGACAATTCCAGTCCTCGTCGTGTATATCTGTTCTCTGTCTTCCATCAGACACCCTTACCGTTTCCTACAGTTCATTGTTTTATTGCAATATTTCATTCACTACTCGCAACAATGCAGTCATTTCATATCAGTCTTGCACTTGAATCTTTGTGCTCCATATTATATCTGAAAACCCAGTCGATTTTTTCAATCACCGCTTCGCGTAGAAATCTGAAACAAAAATTAAACATAAACTATAATAGGATACAAACACTCTTGAATTATATGACGCTACAGTTGCGAATAATTAAATGGACGTAACATTTTAGGTTCTCTCGGAGGCGATCGTGAAGTCGACTGTCTGCTGGGTTGTTCCATAGTCCGATAGAAGTTTACCGACGTTTCAGAGGTGATTGCTGGTTATATTATCAAACGTCTGTGAACTTCTACCAGTCTACACGGCTCAACAACCCAAAAAAACACCCATATTCAGTGAAAAAGACGCTTTATATGTTGCAGCCTATAACTTACTTCATGGAACCAAAGTCCATCTTCTTAATCTGTTAGTATCTCAGCTGTTTCCTGCAATTTTGGAATACTGTATTCCCAAGACCTTGTCACTATATTCTGTCCTGAGCCAGTTTAATCCAGCCTGCGTCCTCATATCTTAGCCTAGGTATACCAAGTGATATCGATCTTTCAGATTTTCCGACTGAAGTGTTGAAAGCAATTATAATATTAAGCTAAGAATATTTCAGTGTTAGGCATCTCAGCTAAACCGTATATCCTCTTAACTGCGGATTTGATTCCTGTCTGCATTAAAACACCACGTGTGCAGTTACGTGTAGTTCCACACTTGACTTGTTTTTTTTTTGTAATTGATGTTTGATAATCAAGGTGAGTGACGTTTACAAAATTTCAAAGACACATTCGAAAAACACGTGTAGCAATTTCTCCATAAGAGAATACACTTTTATCAAGTCTTTAAACATAATATTATTAATGCATTAACATGTAATTTAAAATGTTGTCTTCTTGAGTTAAAATTAATCATGATATCTAATGCATGGCATTACTTTCCACGAGCTTCGCACTCCTCTTACTTAACAGCTGTTATGTATACCCCTGAGACCTGGACACTGCTAGTTGCATGTACAGCCCTAAACTTTGCGATCCATTGCACCTGATAAATGACTCGGCGTATGGCAGAATAATCGAGTGATGATTTGAAAAGGAGTTGAAATACAGCGGTCGTGGCCTATTGTAATGTATAGTCTGATTATTTATCTTAGGAAACTTAGGAAAATGACGAATAACCTCAGTTCCGATAGTTGATCTACAAGCCGAGATTTGAACTGGCAACTCCCAAATACGAATTAGAAACTTCAAATAATGCACCACCGTGTTAGTCTTAGTCTGTTTTTGTTCTAATTTAGGCTAATTTGCTTCATTTTAAGAAGAGGCCTGAAAGGAAATTTTTGATTGGTGTTTCTCACTACGAAACTGAGTTTCGTACAAGACAAGAAATAAATGACTAAGCAGAAATTGTAGCTGATAATCGAATGGCTGGCTCGGTGGAAACCCATTTTCAAATATTCGTAGTAGATCAAATAAGTGGGGGAAGACGACAACAGAGCAGTTAGTGCAGAAAGCTTTCACAGAATAGCCACGTTCAAATCTCGATCGGCTTACCGATTACAATGACAGTTCATTATGGTTTTCATCTGCTTATTAAGATAAGTGCTTTCTAAGTACGGGCATCTTGAAGTAAATCACGATCGTCTTCTCACAGATCCTTAACTATTCACCATAAATTATTGTTTACCTCTCTCGTTCGACATTATAATTATTATGTTCGCGGGTGAGAAATCGTCGATAAAATAGTAAATATACAAAAATAAAACATTCTTAGATCGGACACACGATATATATATAAGTTAAAGATGCACCAATAGAATTTTTATTTCATTCACAATTAAAATCCACATGTTTGTACGATAGCGTATCATTAAAAAATTCATGTAATATCCTACCTATTCACTTCACATTTGAAGATGCTGACATTTAATCACGGATGAATTGTAGGTTTGTTGATGGTAACAAAATAATTTTCGTTCGATGTGTCTTTCATTCGGTTAAACACTTTAACATTGCTGCGCCGTTAAATAAATCGCAACACCTGAATGTAGACAGTTCACTGCACTCTCACGAAGTCGGATAAACTAACCCTGTCTTCTGGTGAAACTAAAATGATCTTTTCAGGCAAGTTAGCGGCTCAAGAATTAGTTAAGTGGGAGGAGCCGATGTTCTTTCATTCACTCCCACTCGCTCGTCCCAGCACGCTACTTCGCTTCCTCCGGCAAGTGCAAGAATGACATAAGAACAGATGGAGCTCAAACCGTGGGAGTGAGTCCTCACCCCCCCCCACCCCCCTCACAAATAAAGGTCAGCCAGTGGAACCCCAAGTAGTCACTGGCACATATTGCTCTCTCCAAATTTCTTTTCCACAGATCGGATGTCTGCTGAGTCATCTTTGAAAATAAAAGATCGGATTTGAAATTAGAGATTTATGCGAATGAAAATTGTCCCACATTTACTCCATATTAGAACCTGTATAAAACTAATCAGGCTTCTAACAGAATAATGGAAGAATATCTGGAAAATACCTAAATATCTTATTCCTTTATTTTTATATTAATTTCTTAGCGTATACATTTAAATATCCATCACCAGTTGAAATATAAGCTTTAACCATAAAGTACGACACGCCAAACGTAAATTGTGATTTGAGTATTTGATAAAGGAAAATGGAAAAAAAACTGATAGGCAATAGATTAGTGGTAATGGGAAACAGATATGAAAGAAAGATACTTTTTTAAAATTTGGACCTAAAAGAGAAAAGTAGCTGGAGATTGGATGTAATGAAATATATAGGAGACAAAAATATTTGTACAATTTTACTAGGAAAACCTGAAGAAAAGAAACTACTTGGAGTACCAAGGCGTAAATAGGATAATATTAAAATTAATCTTGGATAAATAGTTTTGAGTAGTATAATTGATTCAGTTGGTTCAGGACTGGCTCCAAAGGCAAGATCTTGTGGACAAAATTGTCAACTGCTGAGTAGCTGAGCGACTAGCAGATCCACAGGGTCGCTGTCCTGGCAATTGTTTACTTTATAGATTAATACTGTTTCGTACAGCTGGAAAAAAAAGCGTTTCAAAAACAAGAGTAGCAGGCTTAATTCTTTTCTCAAAAATGATTAACTTATGTCGTTCACAAAATGGCGAATAAAAATACCCAACGGCATTATAAACTCTGCTCGAATTATAAAGATTTGGTGCAACGCAAAGACTGGATACCTGAAGGAGAGCACGTACTTCAGAACATTCTAGAATTACGAACGTCATAGTAGGATACTTACTAGATTTATCAAGAATTAATAGTTAACATTTAACAAGGTTTTTACATTTATGAAAACTTCTGTACTAAATCATAAGAATCAGTAGAATGCAATTAGTCTAACTAACTCAGTACATCAGTTATTCTTCAGAAGCTAAAGGTTTTTCAGTAAATTTATAAATTCCTGTCTTTTATTGAACAAAATTGTTAATTACCTTTTTTACAAGACCCTTTAGCTGGAGCCAATTCTGGGCGGCTTTAATGCAATCCAAAGCTTTATTACTTTAAGATCCACTTTAATAATATCCTTCCATCTACGAGTATGTCTTTGAAGGTGTCTCTTCCTTTCTGGTTTCCCAACTAAAATGTCCATGTCATTCTCTGTTTCTCACGTCTCAGTCCAAGCCAGGCCTACATATCTCGCGCTGTCATCTTTAATGATTAGATGACCGTGACAGTGTTCTGTGAAGAGCATAGATTAGGAATTTTCGTTAGACAGTAGCCATTGTGTACTTTTGACTAACTGTCGTTAGTTTCCGTCTGCACAATAATTTATGTAATTGGGTAACTAAAATATAAAAACAGAAGTGTAATATAACACATTTATTCATTTGAGAATAATTTATAAATATGTGTCAAAATTTATTTCCAAATTGCACTTAGTGAACGGTACAGAGGCCTGAAGATAAAGCTTAGCCTTTGCGTGTAAAATTTTGTAGATGGAAATGAGAGATTTTGTTTTATAAATTAAGAGGATCTTCGTTATATGGACCCAATTGCCTCCATCCTCCTGTTTCTTAATGTATTTGCCCAAACAGATTCTTCACACAAAATCCTTTATTAAGTAGTACCAAATAATCCAAAGTGTAGAAATATTTTGTACTGAACAAGTGAAAATATTGGTTTGCTTCGATGTTGGTTTGCGTTTACGTAAGCCTAGTAGAAGCTTTTTGGAGGCTGTGAGTTCCAGTTTCTTTGGCAGAGTGTTACCAGCGTGAGGTATGGAGATCCTGAAACCTCGCAATGTGACAGAACGTTAACCTACTTAAGCCTGTCAGTTGCCAACAGCAAACAACGCCTCGTTCTGAAATCGTAGAAATAAACTATAAATGGACTCTCAATTATATCAGTACGGGAAATTTATTATTTGTATCTGACACAGCATGGCAGTATTTTGCTTGTTTAATAAAATTCACATCCTCTCACCAAATTTCCTTTTACCACCTGTACTATAAACCTTGAGCTCCCATATTTTTAGTGAAGAACCTAGGAGCTCCTTTATCAGAATTTTCTGGCGTTTTTATTCCCACAGGCCTGTGTGCTGAAGATTTGTGGCAATGGTTAAGTAATTATTAATTTTATAGCAAATTTGTTAATTATAAGCTGAACCGATCATCGGAACTGACTCTCATGCCATCATCAGGCGATTATCTCTTCATATAGCCTGTGTTACAGCTCTTCACCGTTTTTATCGTTTCATTTTAATAGCAGCAGATGGTATTTAACCCGGAAGTCCGGTGGTTCAAATATTGGCGTTGACTGCGTGTTTATTCATCGATTCCGACGCCTATCTTCAACACCAAAAATCACTCCACGGAGAAAATTTCTTTGTGAAAATCTGGTAGTCACGCAGATGATATCGAAATTCCCTTCTTTTGTGGACCAGAAGATGCATATACAGTGTTCATGAGGGCTCGTATGGGACTTGCCAGTTGGCAATAGCGATACTACCGAAATGTCGTGTATATTAAACTACTTACACACGCACCGAGTTTGTTAGACGAATAGCTGGCGGTTAACTGTCAACTGTCTGCAAAGTTTCGGAAACCTTCAGTACAATTTCCCAATGACTGCAGCCTTATGTCGCTTCTTGTTTGACGGATTCCACTCTCGTCCGAAACTCCAACTCCTCCTACCTTCGGCTTGCTCGTGTTACTCTCCACCAATAGGGGAGGAATCTTTTAGTGACGTCATAACACCCTTCACCCAACCAAACCCACAAGCACGCGACTCGATAAAAAGCAAAATCCATTACAAGTACAGTCATGTAAAATAATACAGTTGCCGGCTTGGACCTAAGAGTTTTTCTGTCGTGATTCTTATTTCAACACGTGTTGGGATTTTCTCTGCTGGACCGTGTATCTGCGTCTCATTTCGTTCGTGACAGTTCTGGTTTTATAAAATATTTATATAGGCATTTCTGCAGTGAGGATTGGGCAGGCGGGATAAACAGCAATATTTACAACTGTCACCCCCCCAAAAAATATTACGCATTTCTTTCAACACTTTCATTTTCATGAAATGTTACGTCACAGCGCAGTGTGAGAAAACAGAAAATGAAAATTTTTCTTCGTACGGTCCGTACCGTCGCATTGAACACCCATAAACACGTGTAGTCGAAAGTCGAATAGACCATAGTTCATTCAAATACAATTTCAATAGCACATTGATGTAAAGCTACTATAATTTTGTTTTGTGGTTCAGTGGCATATCGCTAGTTTATTTTTACCCAAAATTTTAGGATGCATATACGCTTTTCATAGCATTTTATTTTTTTAATTTTAGTGTTTATTTTTACCCAAAATTTTAGGATGAATATACGCTTTTCATAACATTTTATTTTTTTTAATTTTAGCGATTGCCTTGACGATATTAGTGACATGCATTATTTATGTCATAAAATCCATCTTATTGAATAAAATAACTCGCCTACCATTAAAATAAAAGCAGCTGACATTCTGGTTAGTTAATATAGTCTAAGTTCGCTTTAGCTTGCCACTTTTAACGAAAGCAAGGCTTAAAGGAACGTTCTATTTCTTTAGTCTATTTCACAGACACGTAATGTTGTGTATTCTGACAATAAAAATGCTTGGCGTAGTTGGTCTGCTTCAGCCTTTCTACACATCTAGCACACGTTTAATGATCTTACATTAAGACGAAATAAATTCATAGGTACGAACGCGTTACAGTCCATAAAACTACGCAGAACTATGGCGCTTGAGATCGGAAGTCCCTGATTGCAGATTCGGCAATAAAGTGAAGAAGAGTTTCATCACACAGAACATCTCTTCAGTCACACTAAAATAATTCTTGGTATTTCTCAAAAGAACCTAAGCGTTTATTTAAAAAAGGCGTATAAAATTAAGGCACGTGTTTGTCTTAGCTGTGCAGGAATACAAAAACTAACAGTTCCAATTAAATATTTGTTCAGTTAATAGTGATTTATTTTATCGTGATCTACATTCTTAATTGTAACTCTGTTCAGATAAGCCATATGCGTTATACAAATCAAAATAATTTCAAATTAAAGGGTTAAAAAAATGTTCTGAGAAAATACAAAATAAAACCTCATTAGTAAGAGTTTTATTTAGTTTAATTTCTTGTTGTACATGTAATTTTATTGGATTTTCGTGTACAGATTCAGCTGAATTAGTAGATTAATTAATTTGGAACTAAACAGTAAAAATCGGTGGCCTGATCATAAATGCCCGTCTTTTGCTCAGTAGTAGGCATCTTTAAATCCAACGACGTCTGACGTAATTAGACACGTCCATGGAACTGACAAGAATGGCATTCAATTTCTATTGCGCCTAAGTTTAGGAAAGTAGGAGAAAATTACATGAGCAGGGAATGTAGCACGCATGAGAGAAATGGGAAATAAGCCTACCTATGGACCTAAATTTTTGTCGGAATCTTGAAGGGAAGAGGCCACTTGGAAAACCTAGACATAGATAGGAAAATACTATTAACACAGGTCTTAATGAAATGGGGTGTGAAAATGTTGTGGATTCTGGAGGGCGTGATAACTAGAAAGGCGACTATAAACG